TAAAGGTGACAAGGCTTAAAAATAAAACAATCAGGAATTAAACTCACATCTTTACCGAGAAGTTTATCTTTCATTCTCTGGGCTCGACATTCAATCTCTCTAGTTGTGCTGGATTCTACTGGTCCTTTGGCAGGCATTGGGCCAATCAAGTCTTCCTCCTCTTCGCTGCTATCCGTAGTCTTTATTACAACATGAAATACCAACAAATTCCATCAACCCTGTATTTCTCAAAATAAGCATACTTATTTTGTATCTTGTTCGTCTACTTAATACATTCCTTACACCTCTCACTTAACAAGTATTTCTCCAAAGGCCGATGTAACTCTCTTTACCAGAAACCAAGATGTGGCAAAATGATGAATTACTCTAAGTAGCTCAATTTGCGTATTTGTTTTAAAAACCAAATGTATGGATTTTAGCCAAATCTTCTTTCGTTATTATTATTTTAATGAAAAGTGTTGCACAAGTGAAAGGAATAAAGAACATACCAGTAGACAAACCTGTTTACAAGGTATGAGGGAATTTTAGGCAGCTGCTGTGGAAAACACAATATCTGCTTTGAATTGTGGAGAAGACACAGTTTCCTTTCTACAATCGTAAGGAACAGAAACTTTATCTTTAAACATTTGAAGCCATGCGTCTCCTGACTCCCCAGTCATCCCTGGGTCTACAGCAGGGGTGCCCAAACCTTTTTCAAAGAGGGTGCGATTTGAAGAAATGAACATGTGTGAGGGCCGACGGAGGTTGTTGAGCTTTTTTTACAATTTTACACCAAAGTTGTGGAGCATTTTTTAGGGTTGAAGTTGCTGAGCTTTTACAGTGGTACCTCGGGTTAAGAACTTAATTTGTTCTGGAGGTCCATTCTGAACCTGAAACTGTTCTTAACCTGAAGCACCACTTTAGTGCTAATGGGGCCTCCTGCTGCCGCCATGCAATTTCTGTACTCATCCTGAAGCAAAGTTCTTAACCTGAGGTACTATTTCTGGGTTAGCGGAGTCTGCAACCTGAAGCGTCTGCAACCTGAAGCGTCTGTAACCCGAGGTACCACTTTATTAGGATTTTATCCCGGGACATATACTGCCACGGGGGCCAGATTAAATCGACCGGTGAGACGGATTAGGCCCCTGAAACGGACTTTGGACATGCCTGGCTTACAAAGATTGAAGGCCAAGAACTTGGAAATAACTTGGTAAAGCACAGGCTTGCTTTGGCTGATGACCATAAATCCAGCTTACCAGAAACCAGGCATGGCTCTACATGGCAGGACTAAGTCCTTCAGCATCTCTCAGTGATAAGCCTCTTTGAACTACACAAGTCCATCACTAGAGCTTAGTGACCCACTGTGCAGGAGCAAAATCCTTGTCTCAAAACATTGCAATGGTTTTTCCACAGGTACCATTAGTTACACAGTGCATTCTGCAAGGACAGGTTAAAGACACATTTCCTTGTTGCTACCCTCCAGGGTCACAGAGCACTACTCAGGAGAAACACCAATCCTATTGGACCACGGTGTTTGAATCTTGCTATTTATTTTCTTAAACAGTTTTATATTTCATTATTTCACTGTGTATTACTTTGAAGATGCTGTAGAGTGGTAGATTTAAGTATAGTTTTATACACTGAGGTCCAGCGCTGAGGACCTTCTGGCGCTTCCCTCACTCCGAGAAGTGAGGTTACAGGGAACCAGGCAGAGGGCCTTCTCGGTGGTGGTGCCCGCCCTGTGGAATGCCCTCCCATCAGATGTCAAGGAAATAAACAACTATCTGACTGGCAGCCCTGTTTAGGGAAGTGTTTTATGTGTGATGTTTCATTGTGTTTTTAATATTCTGTTGGAAGCTGCCCAGAGTGGCAGGGGAGGCCCGGCCTGAAGGGTGAGGTATAAGTAATAAATTAATAATAATAATAATTAGCAAATAAAACCTACCAAACAGAATGCCACACACACTCTTTAAAAGTTATCCAAGTTTACAAACTCCACAGATCTTTCTTGAAGTACAACTATCCATAGCAAAACCCCAAACAAACAAACAAACACGGTTCGTCTCCAGGCTGATATTGCTCTGCCTGGATGTAGTGTTCTGACAACCAAGGTTGTGAGTGTGAAGCAAGAATCTCTTGCTCCCACCATTCCTCTAAGTCATGCTGTGACGTATCTTCCTCTAGGTTTCTTCAATGAAAGAAGGGTGCTTAAGATGTTTACCTATGCGACCATAGCTCCTCATCGGTCAGAAAGTGTGTGGGGTCGCTCCCTCAAAAGACAGTGGAGAGGCTTTAAATACAGTGGTGCCTCGCAAGACGAAATTAATTCGTTCCACGAGTTTTTTCGTCTTGCGAGTTTTTTCGTCTTGCGAAGCACGGTTTCGGAAAAGTTTTGGAAAAGCTTCAAAAATCACCAAAGTCTTCAAAAACCTCAAAAAAGGCTACCACACCGCGTGCTATGAGTTGCTCCTCGAAGTCAAGTCACAACTGTATTAACGGTTTTAAGAAAAAGGAAACAAACTTGCAAGACGTTTCCGTCTTGCGAAGCAAGCCCATAGGGAAAATCGTCTTGCGAAGCAACTAAAAAATCCAAAAACCCTTTCGTCTTGCAAGTTTTCCGTCTTGCGAGGTACCACTGTAGCTAAGTTGCTCTTGCATTAGAATCCAGATTGGGTCTTACATATCACTGGGAAGCTGAACATTCTCACTGCCTACTCATAGACTAGAAGTATTACCGTATTTTTCGCTCTATAAGAAGCGCACCAGACCATAAGACGCACCTAGTTTTTGGAGGAGGAAAACAAGAAAAAAATATATTCTGAATTCCAGAAGCCAGAACAGCAAGAAGGATTGCTGCGCAGCGAAAGCAGCGATCCCTCTTGCTGTTCTGGCTTCTGGGATAGCTGGGCAGCCTGCATTTGCTCCATAAGACGCACACACATTTCCCCTTTTTAGGAGGGAAAAAGTGAGTCTTATAGAGCAAAAAAATACGGTATATTGTAGTGGAAAGGCGAAGATTAGCCAATTTTAGAGCCACAGTGCTCTGGTTTATTTTGTTGTATTTTGCCTGCTTTCCCCCTAACTTTTATTTCTAATATGGTTTCATAATTTGACCACAGGTGTGTGTGCGCGCGCACTTGCCAACCTCGGGATTCCAGAATTTCCATGTGCCTAGACAGTTCTTGGAGTTCTTGCTACTCAAAGTTTAGGTTCTGAATGGTAAGAGATTGACATGTTCTTCTGAGATCTGGGAGGGATTTGGGGAGCGAAGGCTGCCTTTGCACTCTGGGTAACACAGGGTGTGTTCCTGAGCTTCACCCTTTACTTGGGTGGGAAGGAAAAGCACACATCAGTCATGAGTCAGGGGGGAGCAGTGCTCTATTGCAGTCTGTGCTGCAAAGTAAGTAAGGGAAAGGAATAACATCCATTTTCTTCTTTATAAGGCCATGATATAATGTGAATGGAACTCGAGACAACTATCTTTCTTACCATATATTTTCATCTGCCAGATATTTTCGTTTCCAGGAAATTTTGCATTGAAGAGAATGAAGAACCTGTGGCATCTTAAAGCTTGTGAAACTTCTATTTGACCTGCTCCTTTGTGTTTCAAATTTGTGTATATAACTTTACTCAACAACCAAGGCATTTGCAAATCAAAGTGTTACAGAGTTAACATATATGTAACCTTGTCAGATGAATAAATGTGGGTTAGGTTTTGAGTGTGTACGTATATGCGTGTGTGCGTGCGTGTGTGTGTCTGTGTGTGCATTGTTCCAAGCATGCTCCACAAATAAAAAGCAGGATCTGTTCTTGTTTCAGGATTATTGTTTCTACACACCTGGGTTGCATAATATATGTTTTCTTCAGCAGCTTCTGATGGTTTCTTAAGCCAGGTGGTAAGGCAGGACCTAGAACAGGCCTCATGAAGAGGGAAAAAATCATTTTACATTTCAATTTAAAGTCAGAGAATAATGAAAGTTGCTACAATGTACAAAAGTACACTTAATAATGGTCCTAAAAAACATTTTCTCTTCTGATTTTGGAGTTATTAACAAGGAGCTTGTGGCGGCAAGTGCTACTCACTCAGAGCCTTTACTATTCCAAATTCCTCCCATCCATTTGATACAACTGTTCTCTGCAATTCTGATAAAAAGGTAAAGGTACCCCTGCCCGTACGGGCCAGTCTTGACAGACTCTAGGGTTGTGCGCCCATCTCCACTCTAGAGGCCGGGGGCCAGCGCTGTCCGGAGACACTTCCGGGTCACGTGGCCAGCGTGACATCGCTGCTCTGGCGAGCCAGAGCCGCACACGGAAACACTGTTACCTTTCCGCTAGTAAGCGGTCCCTATTTATCTACTTGCACCTGGGGTGCTTTCGAACTGCTAGGTTGGCAGGCGCTGGGACCGAGCAGCGGAGCACACCCCGCCGCGGGGATTCGAACCGCCGACCTTTCGATCGGCAAGCCCTAGGCGCTGAGGCTTTTACCCACAGCGCCACCCGCGTCCCTTGCAATTCTGATAGCAATCTATAAATTATTTGAAAGGCTATAATGACGAGAGTAACTTGAGGAGTAATTTGTACCCTGTTGTTCCACGAGAGCAGGACTCAAACCAATGGGTTCAAATAGCTAAAGGGGGGGGGGAAGAGAGATTTCAAGTAAACCATAGGAAAACCAATAGCACAAGATATTCAACAATGGAACAAACTACTTTTCGAAGGTGGGGGTCCCTTCTTTGCAGAAAGTTTGAAAGAGGAGGCTGGACGGCCACCCTATCAGGGAAGGTGTAGCCATGCATTTCTGCATGACCAAGTTGGATGAGATTACCTTTGAAGACCTTTCCCATGGCAAAGTCTCGTTTCCGGACAAGCCATTTCCTGGAGTAACCAACCTCAAGGTCTGTTTTCAACACTTTAGTTGCTGATTGGGGTTGTTGTTGTTTTTTTACATACAGTGGTGCCTCGCAAGACGAAAATTAATCCGTTCTGCGAGTCTCTTCGTCTTGCGGTTTTTTCATCTTGCGAAGCACGGCTATTAGCGGCTTAGCGGCTATTAACGGCTTAGCGGCTTTAAGAAAAAGGAAACAAACTCGCAAGACGTTTCGTCTTGCGAAGCAAGCCCATAGGGAAATTCGTCTTGCAGAACGACTCAAAAAAACGGAAAACCCTTTCGTCTAGCGAGTTTTTTCGTCTTGCGAGGCATTCGTCTTGCGGGGCACCACTGTACAGAAATACAGAGGTCATAAAGCGTTCTGCTAACTCTTTCAGACACTGTGGATTTCTTGGGGGATATTTACCTTTCTGGGGATTCATCTGGTTTTTTAAAGCCAGGAGGAAGAGCAGGTCCAAAGAATCCATCATCGTCATCTTCCTGATAGCGTCTGTGTTTTTCTGCAAATAGAATGAAAGCACTTAATTACTAAAATGTGAACAGCAATTACCTACACTTTGAAAAGAAAAGCCTGCATTTTCTTTCAAGAACTGCATCTCATATCCTGTATGTGTCGTCTATGTCCATGGTAACAGCATTGGAAAGCAGAGCAACAATAATATAAATGGCTCGCCTATATAGTAAGCCATATTCCCAACTGAGCAGCAGAGTCAAATATTATATACATCAGTGTAAAGGTATGTGGTCTAAACCAGTGTTTCCCAACCTTTTTTGGGCAAAGACACACTTGTTTCATGAAAAAAATCTCGAGGCACACCACCATTACAGCCCCGTGACGTCAGCGCGCAGCGTCACGCCGGGAGGGACGCACGAAAGTGTAAGTTTCAATTTTTTCCCCTCCCCCTTGCCTTCCTTCTGTGCCAACCGCCAAAAAGCCAAGAAAAAAGCCAAGACTTTAGGGCAGCAGGTCGACACGGAAGAAGCTCCTACCTAAGGACAGGTGCGACGGCCGTGTCCTCTTCTGCCACACTTGGCAGCCCTGCCTCACGGTCGTGACTCCCATCGCCGCCCCCTCATGCGAGTGGACCTGCCCGGAGTGGTGGGTCGGGGGAGGCTCGCTCTCTGTGGGGATGTGGCCCGCACGCGCGGCCCCGCTTCCTCCTGCCCAGGGCTGAGCTCCTTACCCGCGATCTCGGTCTCGCGCACGCGGATCCCACTTATTCTGAAGCTCGCACCACTAGCCGGGGCTCTCACACCGTGCCAGGGCGAGGCGGCGCGGGCCCACTGACGTCATCGCGGCTCGCCGCCGCCCTCGACTTCCCTGTTCCCTCCCCTTCCTCGGGTCGCCGTGGTTACCGAGGACTGCAAGCTGCTCGGGCGAGCGTGGGGCATTAAGTGGGAGAAGGAAAATTAAAATTAAAACTCGCCTGAAGGCCGCCTCTCCGGATACAGTGGTGCCTCGCAAGACGAAATTAATTCGTTCCGCAAGTCTCTTCGTCTTGCGAGTTTTTCGTCTTGCGATGCACGGTTTCCCATAGGAATGCATTGAAAATCAATTAATGCGTTCCTAGGGAAACCGCCTTCAGACCAGGTCCGGGGACAGTCTGTCCCCCGACCTCTTCTGAAGGCTGGGGGGGGGGGACAAGGGCTTTTCTTCCCACCCCCAGCATTTTAAAAACCCCGGGACAGCGGAGTACTTCTCCGCTGTCCGGGGCAATCTTAAAATGCTGGCGGGCGGCATTTTAAAATCGCCCGGGACAGCGGAGGACTTCTCCGCTGTCCGGGGCGATTTAAAAGCCCCTGGGAAGGCAGGCAGGGGGGACAAAGATTTTCGCCCCCCGCCCGCCTTCAGAAGAGGTCCTGGACCTCTTCTGAAGGTGGGCGGGGGCGAAAGTCTTTGCTCCCCCTGCCTGCCTTCCCGGGAGAGCGGAGAAAGGCAGCGCATTTCTCCGCTGTCCCGGATGGCTTTTGAAGGTCCTTGACCTCTTCTGAAGGCGGGCGGGGGCGAAAGTCTTTGCTCCCCCCTGCCTGCCTTCCCGGGAGAGCGGAGAAAGGCAGCGCGTTTCTCCGCTGTCCCGGACGGCTTTTGAAGGCAGGCTTTTGAAAGCCGTCCGGGACAGCGGAGAAACGCAGCGCGCCATTCCCGTTGTCCCCCCGACTTGGCTGGAAGGCTGGCGGGGGGAAGAAGCCTGCTCCTCCCCGTCGCCAGCCCCGCAAACTCGGGGGACAGCGGGAGAAACGCAGCGCGCCATTCCCGTTGTCCCCCGACTTGGCTGGAAGGCTGACGGGGGGAGAAGCCTGCCCCTCCCCGTCGCCAGCCCCGCAAACTCGGGGGACAGCGGGAGAGGCGCAGCGCGCCATCCCGCTGTCCCCCGACTTGGCTGGAAGGCTGGCGGGGGGAGAAGCCTGCTCCTCCCTGTCGCCAGCCCCGCAAACTCGGGGGACAGCGGGAGAGGCACAGCGCGCCCTTGCCGCTGTCCCCCGACTTGGCTAGAAGGCTGGCGGGGGGAGAAGCCTGCTCCTCCGCATCGCCAGCCCTGCAAACTCGGGGGACAGCGGGAGAGGCGCAGCGCGCCATCCCGCTGTCTCCCGACATGGTTTGGAGGCTGGCGGAGGGCTTCCTCCTCCCCCAGCCCCGCAAGCTCCCAGAGCGATGCCAAAGCTGCGCGCAGCTTCGGCATGGCTCTGGTCCCGTTCTGGGGGAGGGGGAAGCTCGGGCTTCCCCCGCCCCAGCCCCACGCCTGGCGGTGGGGGAATAATTTTTTTCCCCTTTCCCCCCCCCCCCGCCAATTTTTCCCGCGGCACACCAGGCAACGTCTGGCGGCACACTAGTGTGCCGCGGAACACCGGTTGGGAAACACTGGTCTAAAGGATATCTACAAGACTAACCTTTCCACTTCAAAAATGCTCAATTAGTTTGATTCCAAACAAGCAGTTCATATTAATTAAGCGAGGAAGGCTGGCTTCTGCTAAACTGGAAAGTCACTGAGATTTTTAGGGTGGTCAAAGGGGGGGCATTCAGTACAAACTTGCATGGGGGTGGGGGTGGGGTGTTTTGTGTTGAGTATGTGCCACAGAAGTTCAGTCAAGCATTTAGGCTCACCACAGGAAACAACAGTATGGCAGATACAGCTTTACACAGCAAACACGAAACACCACACACTATATAAAATCACTATTTACAGTTGCTGCAAGAAGTCTTCACTCTCTGAGTCTAGCTTGGGCTCTAGCTTATAAGGTTCTTGCTGGGACAAAGTCCAATATCCCCCAGACAAGCCCTTCACAAAGTCCCCCACATTTTCACAGGATCTTTCCAAAAGTCTCCACATCTCCAACAGATTCTCAGTGAATCAGGTGAGTTAGGGACTTGCCTGTGCCCTGCGTGTGAAGACAGGCTCTGGCAGATTGAGCAGATGAGACCAGTCATAGGTCCAAAGGCCAAGAAAGCAGTTTCTGTGCATACGGAAGAGGGAAGTGAGGGGAGGATGGGGGTCTCCAACCTGGGAAGGGCAGAGGCGTGTGGTGGGTGCGGTCCACCCGGGTGTCATGACTGAGGGGGGGGTGACAAAAATGGCAGGCAAGTGGGTGGCACACCTCGGTCCCAGTGTTCAGGGATGATGAGAATTGTAGTCCCCAAACAGCTGGAGGGCCAAGTTTGGCCATGCCTGTTTTTAAAAAGTTGTGGGTGGGTAAGCAGATCTGGGGCTCTTCACTAAAGGCGGGGGGGCTTTGTTCCTGCTGCAACTTCCCTGGGGATCATCTGGCTTCCTGCAAATGCCCCCCCTCTAAAAATAGAAACATTGCTGTTTCTTTTTTATAGCCACAAAGGTGAATCACACTCATATTCAACCAAAGTTCACTGGGCTAGGAGCCTTCTGTGACAAATCCCTCACCAGTACCATCCTTTTCATTGCCAGGGCTGACATATTAAATATGTAAGTGGAAGATTGTAGGTCAGGCGCCAACTAACGCACACTCAGAATGGACCAACTGAACTGAGCAGACCTAAATACGTCATCACAGTTCTTTTCAATGAGTCTGCTCTGAGTATGGCTAACACTGAATGTCACCTGTTGGCTTTTCTAGCAAGATGTGTAGCAACGAGAAATGGGAGTCACTGGGGGCATGAAGAGCAGGCATCAATATTTAAAGAGTGATACCGCTGTACATCCTGATTTAAGCAAAACATCCTGGAATTATGGAAGCCATACCTGGCTTCTGCTTGGATCCCAGAATATCCCATTCTTTGGTCTGGCGCTCTGACATGAGTCAACTGGCTTGGACCAGAGCACCAGACCAAAAATCCCATTTGGATCACCCATATGTTGGAGGGTATGCTATATGCATGAACAAAGTCCCAGGGTCAAGCCCTAGCATCTCCACATAGTGCTGGCAATGACTCCTCCTCAACCCCTTGAAAGCCACTGCCGGACACTGCAATACTGAGCTAGCCTGACTCAGTAGAAGCCAAGTTCCTCTGTTCCTAGTGTGCCAGGCTCCTTCCCACTTTCCCATCCTTGCATGGAGTCAAACGCTGGGCTAGCCCACTCCAACACAGGACTATAGAGTCAGACTTGAAGGACCCTTGGTGCAGGGAATCCTGAACAAGTGGACCTTCAAGAGATGGCTGTCTGCTTGGAGACCTGCAGTGTGGGAGAACCCACCCTACTTCATACGAACTCTCTGCCTTCTAGAAATGAAATTTTGTGAGCTAGCTCAGTTGGCAGAACATATGATTCTCAATCTCATGGGTTCAAGCCCCATGTTGGGCAAAAAAGATTCCTGCAGTACAGAGGACTGGTCTAGATGACCCTCATGGTCCCTTCCAACTCTGCAATTCTATGTACATTTCATCCTTCCTTTTATTCCCCAACACCAAAACCACTTTCTAAAAAAAAGTTACAGAACTTCTCCAGGGATTGAGGGGAGAAGTGTCCTGATAGCTTCACATGTGCTGGCCAACCATCACCACCCACAGCTAAGTTTTGTGGCACTATTACATTTGGATGTTTATGGGAGTTCTGCCCTGGAGAAGGAAGGTGACTTATATGAACGTTGCAAGGTTGCTTCCCAAGCTGTTCCCGTGCCAGACTCCTTCGGGATGCGTGGCCTGTGGCAAAAGGGAGAGGTTGAACGCACACCATACGTTTACAGTACTTCTAAAAGCACACTCACCAAGAATCCTGTAATTTGTTAAGGGTGCTAGGAATTGTATATCTGTGAGGGCAGGTGTGGTCTTTGGTAATCTTTTGTAGTACTGTATGGTGCACTGTGTGAGATCAAAATTTAGCACCCCCAAATGGATCTTCTCAATTTTGCACCCTCTTGGTTCAGTGTCCTGTATGGCAGAGCTGCCTGCACCACCCTAAATCCAGTTCTATGAGGGGTTAATTACAATTCCCTGGATTCTTTTTTGGAAGGTGGGGGTTGCTTTAAATATATGGTGTGTACACAGCCAAAGGAAGCAGATTTGATTGATGTTGTCACTGTTACTCTGGAGATCT